CTTCCCAAACACCATTGTTGAAGAAGCATAACCCAAAATCCCTTGTCGAGCATCAAACAAACAAACACGCCATGGGATGGTTGTTTCCGACGAGATCAAGAGGAGCTACAACCCTCTCGACAACTGCAATCGATGTTCAACACCTCTACAACCCTCCTACAGTCAAAAAAGCACAACCCCAAACACTTCACCTCAATCGTTGGTATTGCGGCTACTCTGATTCCCTTCCGAATCGTTGTTATCGATGACGGGAAAGAAACCACGATTACGCTCGCCATGGAGCAGCCTCACCACCTCCTTTAGTTCTTCATCGCATCTTCGCACCTTTCCTTACTGAAGTTGCTTCCGTAGCTTACCTGTTTCCCTCGGATATTCCTTCCTTCATTCTCTTTCACAATCAATGCTTAAGCAGCCCTTGTTGCTTCCAATCTTATTCTTCCCTAATCAGTTCGATTAAGCACCTCTGTGAATGAGCTTTCTGAAGTTCCATTCATAGCTTGGGTGTTGTACAACATCTTTCAACTGGCGGTTAACCCGATCAACAAGATAAGGAATAAATGAGTGGTGGTTAGAATCCGACACTCCAAGTCCGATTAGGTCTGTTAAAATCCTTTCCTTATTGCGTTAGTTTCTCTTTGTTGTGAAAGTAGGTCACGAAGATCAACACAATCACACCCAAATTGTAAACATCATTTTTTTTGTTTAATTTCTTGAGCTTTGAAATCAATTCATATTTCTAGGTAAAGATGATGAACAAATGATGACCAGAGGATCAAGGTTGATTGAAATTAGCATATCAATGAAAATGAATAGCAAAAGATCAGCATACCACAAGGACCAAACATGTAATTTACTCTAAAGAAATATAAATCGAAGCAAATAACTACAGATAGAGAAAGGTTAAGGCAGATCAAAGATTCAGGTCTGTAGTCTCGATTGATATTCTATTTGTTCTTTAACTTCAAGGGCTGTTGATTGTTGATGATAATAGGGGATGTGATTATTGATGATAATAGGGGATGTGATCATCGGCTCAACGTATTCAGGGTTAGATTGAATACGTTGAAAGATCTGATACGGTGGAGGATGGAGGATCCATGTTGACAGAAATATATTGGGATTTTTCCTTTTTAATCTTCTATTTAATTGTGGTTGGGTAAGTTGGACGTGAAGAGAATGGTTCCTGTCATGCTATTGAAGAAGACAAAGAGGACATCAGGAGTGAATTTGGAGATTCAGGAAATCTAAGAGAGTGGGATGGAGGATGAATGAGTTCATCTGGTTATGTATGTTTATGTGTGAAAAGAGAGAGAGAGAGAGAGAGAGAGAGAGAGAGAGAGAGAGAGAGAGAGAGAGAGAGGGAGAGAGAGGCCACTTTTAATTTTTAATTGTTAAACTAAAAAAATAGGTATTAATTTTTTTCTTTTAAAAATGGGGATATATATTTTTTTAGATGCAAAAATGGTTCCTTATAAGTGAAAAGACAAATATACCCTCATGTGGGAGGCACATGAGGGGGTTAACAACAAAAACTTAACGGAAGTTAAGTCGGGGGATCAATTCTACGTACAAACTAGACCAAAAAGATCATAAATCCAAAAAAATCGAAGTTTAGATTGAAACTCCAAAAAGATCATACCACATGGACCATTTTTGCAATTTTGTCTTTAGTAAACTCAATTGACGATAGGCGAGTTTTATACAGTATAGATACAGAGGTTTATTCCTCATGCTAGGCTTTTGGTCGATTAATCCATAAGGTTGATATTATCGTTTATTTAATAATAAATATTGTGAAATTTCTAATATGTACAATCGGTGATTATTTTGAAAGTGGGAGTCACATTTATCTGTCTTTTAAACATGTAATTTAATGTAGATCTTATTTGTCCCCCACATTGATACCACTTCATTATCTACAATAAATATATGAATGATATAACTATAATTATGTAGATTTGTCATAATACAATTTTTCTATTGAAATTTGAATTCCTATTCTCATTATTACTTATTATACGTAGGAGGGGTGAAGTCAATAATTTTTTTAGGAAGTTATTCATAAATTAATAATAATAATAATAATAATAATAATAAATGAGAATTTAAGGGTGGATCAGGGCTTTCCCTGGCTCTCGTTTGGCTCCATCCTTGATATTAAACTAGGTGGAGAACCCCTGCGTTGCGGAGGTCGGATACGATAAATTTTTCCGTTGTTTGTTCTTTTTAAATGTTATTTGATCAACTATTTGTTTATAGTTTGAGTATTGTTATGGGGCAGTAATATTGTTTCCTCATGGATAATTTTTTTGTTGTCGGATAAGCTATTTATCGAAATATATACTTCATGGATTTATCCTTTGGTTGATGGGATGGAACTGGAGAGTCGGATTGTAACGACCCAAAAATCACGACTAAAAATTTCTTTTAAAAACATTAGTAAAATCATATTTATAAAAACTGCATCATAAGTCATAACATAATTTCCGAGTATTAATCCAAAACATAAACTTATTATCAGAGTAAACATTCCCACGCTAACTGACTATAGTGTGTGCACTGCAACCTCTTCGAGCTCCTCTTTTAGAACCGAGTACCTGAAACCAAAAATTGAAACCGTAAGCAGGAAGCTTAGTGAGCTCCCCCAAACTACCACATACCCTACAATAACATATAAAGCACATACTGGGCCTTGCCCAATGCATCGGACCGAGGTTTGGACTAACTGGGGCCTTGCCCCTACATCGGACCGAAGTCCAGAAACTGACTGAGACCTTGTCCCATGCATCGGACCTAAGTCCGGAAACTGACTGGGACCTTGTTCCCTGCATCGGACCGAAGTCCGGACTAACTGCATTGGACCGAAGTCCGGAACTAACTGAACATAACATAACATAAACATATCAACTAGCATGAACACATACACTGCATACTGCATCGGGTCGTAGCCCGGAACACATAACACATAAATCCTATCTGAGCCACGAAGGCATCAAACCTACTAAGTACTGCATCGGACCGAAGTCCGGAAACTACTGCTAGCTAAACGGGCCGGTATTGTGGCCTTAGACCCGTTCCTACTGGAAGGAAAACTCACCTGGACTGCTGAGCTCTGTTGATAACCCTTTGGCTGCTAACCGACAACCTTCTGAGCCGCTGCTCTTTTAGCTCTCTGAACTACCAATATCAAAACATATATCACTTAGCTTAACTGATCTCCAAAAGTCAACTATATCAACTCTGGTCAAAGTCAACCTTCTAGGTCAACACTAGTCACCGTGTCTGCCTACTGACTCGTCGAGTTCATTAGCTCAAAATCCTTTCATTCATGACTCGACTCGCCGAGTCAGCCCCTGACTCCCCAAGTCTACCGATTTCCGAATCCTGACCTATCCAACTCACTTAGTCCCCACTCAACTCACTGATCCGAGTCTTAACTCGAAGTGTTTGGGGTTTCGCGACTTGAATCGCCGAGTCCAAGAACAAACTCGCCGAGTCCAAGAACAGACTCGCCGAGTCCAAGAACAGACTCGCCGCATCCAAGGAAATATTCAACAGACTCGCTGATTTGTTCTTCCAACTCGTTGAGTTCCTGCCCAACTTCATCCAACTCACCGAGTCGCTCCAGTTCTTAATCTATTCAGTGGCTTTTCGAGCCATGCAGGGGCTCTAATTCATAGATCCATACTTCCAAATTCCATTCCCCATGTAAAGTTGCAAACTTTACGTATAACTAAGGAGATCAAGGCTCAAAACACTACAAACAAGAGTTTAAGACAAAGAGGCTTAACAACCAACCCAAGGACTGATGCTTTATGATTTTCTAGACCAGAATACACTTAGATCTGAAGTAGCAACTTCAGATTTGGGCTCCAACTCGAAATGATTCAAGGACATGGCATAAAAGCCCCAAAACTCATAACCAAGATAAATCTAGATGCAAATGAGGGAAGATAACAGCTTATTACCTCCAAGATGAGCACAAACTGAGATAGTTCTCAGATCTACACCTCTCCTTTGAAGCAACCCTCCTGATCTTCAAGTTCCTTTAAAAGATTACCTCATCCAAAGCTATTTTCCCTCAAATGATGGAAGCTCACACAAAATCCAGGATTTACAGGCTCTCTATGATGATATAGAGGCTGAGGAAGGGACATAACATCCCTTATATAAGGTACAACCCCCGGGATTAGGGTTTCTCTCTTCAGATCGGACTCGTCGATTCGGTCACTTACACCTCGATCCAGATCCTGCTCGGACTCGTCGAGTTCCTCCCTGGACTCGACAAGTTGACCCCTTTCACTTACGGTTTTCTTTCCTTTCTTGGACTTTCTGATTTTGGGTGTTACACGGATTCCACGGATCAAATACTTCATGGTTTTTTCCTCATTAAGTGTTGTTTAAATATAACATTGGGTAGCTTAAAAAACATTTGATAAAATGACAACACACGTATCTGATAAAAGCAAAGTCACCACAACAAACAAAAAAAAAACAAAAAAATAATCAATTTGTTGACCAGTGTGTGTTACAGTATGCTAATAAGTTCAATCGTCGGCTTTGTTAGATTCCATATGCCCTAAGAAAAGAAAAGAAAAAAAAAAGAAAAAAAACATATCAAAACTTTGGAAAACAAATAAATACAGTAAAGAAATGAAGCCTAATAATTTATCATATGACATTGTGAACATCTATAGTTTTTGTAGCTGTGTTCTTCCTCAAAATTATGTTTGAATATATTTTGTTTACTGTCCATCTTTCCATTATTTGCTAACCCTGTGATGATAGAATTCTGTGTCTTGATGTTCTTTTTTGGCATTGATCCGAACTACTCCACAACAGATTGGTGAATCCAGTTACCCTCACCATGAAATCAAACACTCATACATAAGATTATGAATCACAAAAAAGCTCACCACTTGAGTTCTACAATCAACTGACGATTATGATGGTCCATTTATAATCTGGAGCAATATATGTGCAATGTTCACTTCAAATGGTCATTTGAATGAATTGGTCAATAAGGGGTGAAGCTCATTTGTATCACACCCAACCTTAGCTTTCAAATGCTCAATAACTTCTTGATCTTTCAGGTCAAACTTCACTTCGAATGGTAATCTAGGCAAATCTGGAATCAACCCCTGATCATTGCTAAACCACCATCAATTATCAGTTCAGAATCTATCTAAAAGACAAATAAAATTTACACCAAGAGAATAATCAGAAAAGTAATTCACATGATATACCTTAGCCTCGATTGGATCGTATGTCCACAAGAAGGGCAAAGACACTACAATATGAAAATGAGTATTGAGTAATGAAACAATGAAAGTGGAGAAGTTGATTATAAAAGTATACCTGTTTAGCATTGAAGGGAGGAAACCTCTCCTCTAGAACCTGGTAACACAATTACACCTGTCTTATCCCCTTTACTACTTCTAACATCTGCATCCATCAACCCATGCTTTCTTGCAGAAAAAAACCTGCATTCATATTCAGATTCAATCAACAAATAATCCAGTAATTCTAACCATATCATTATCTATCTACCTGCATGTAAGGTAAGCATGAGAAAGAAGATATGGATGAAAAATGGCTGTTTTCCATTCCCCTGCTTCTTGAGCAATATTGAACCCACCAACTGGCTTTCCTGCTTCAAGAGCATCCCGAGTTCCAGCATCCATAAGCCCTGGTCCACCCCCTAACCATGAAGTGCATCCCAACAACTTTGCAACCTTTACCAAAACGAAAGCTTTCATTCTTTTGAAACAAAATACAAAAATATAAATATGGACTTGCCGATGTTGCCAATTCCTGTATTTAGATATAATGCTCATATTTAAGAAATGGTATGAAAACTATAAGATTGCTTTTCTACACATTAAGCAATGCCAAAGAGAATTATAAAACTAAACTGCTGTGAATCCCACCAGAAATCCAGAGATAAATGTCGCCAAATAGTGTATAAAATTCCCTAGCCAAACACACACACACACATACATACAAAGTTAATAATCTCATATGCATCAGTTCATAACCCAAAAAAAGAGTTGATCGTTTTTACCTTTTCACTAATGACATTTTAAAACATAACATCATCAATATTTATCGCATATACAACATCTGAAGGTCTCACTTCAGTTTCTAAGACCTGAGAATGTGTCATTTCAAATTGAATAAAATATGAGTACATGTACAGAAAAGCTCAAAAGTGACATATTAATTAATATTAATTACCAAGTGTCATTTCAACCATAATAAAGAAAAACAAAATATCATATCAACAAAATCAACTCCAACTAAAGCAAACTTTGATTCTCCCGTGACAACAGAGTCTTCTGGCAATTGAAGTGCTGCTTCCTAACAATTGGAAATTAGAAGCCCTGGCCTGTAAAAATAATGAATTACATCCATAAATAACCAAGAAAAAAACGTTTGTAAGAAATCGACAAATAAGCAGAAATCTAGCATAAATCGGAAGTGAAACCGTTATCCATAACCATCGCTTACTATACCAGGTTTACCAACTGTTGTTTGATTACCAATGTTGTGCAAGTCTGATGTTGGTGACTAAAGCATCAGCATAATCTGAAAAATCATAAACAACAAAGCGGAAAATTATTAAATATTAGAGTGATAGTGGTTGTTGCGCTCCTCCTAGTGGTCATAGTAACCTAAAATAAACGACTGAGAAACACCGATTGAGCCATGGTGATTTAAGGAGATGATGGTTGTGCAAGAAGGATCGATGCGGTGGACGACGACGGTGGTCCGTGGCAGTGAAAGGGGTGAATGGGTCTGTGTTGGGGGCAGTGAGCGATCGATGGTGGTGCGTTAGGGGTGGGTCATTGGTTTTGGTGTCGGCTGAAGATGATGGCTATGACCAGAAGAATTTGAGAGCGGGGCGATCGTCAGCTTTGTATCCACCTGTGCGCTTGAGAGAAGAGCGAGAAAAGAATGAAGCAGAAAAATCAGAAGAATCGAGAACCTCACGGAAGATACTAGATAAGGAGGCGGTGGGAAGGATCCGGAAGCGGATAAACCCAAAGGATGATCAACACATGTAGAAAAGAATGTAAATATTTCCATAAAATGCCCAGGTACAAGAACAAAACGAAAACAATAACTAAATGATAATCAGGGGACCATTTTTGCTAAACACTTGCTGAGTTCACTATTCCTAAAGATGGTCATCTTTAATATATATATATATATATATATATATATATATATATATATATATATATTATATATATATATATATATATATATATATATATATATATATATAACGCCCGTAGATCCGGGCTAGTCAATTTAGAGACGATAAGCATCAAAAATGACTTTTTTATGGAAGATTATTTAGAAGGATTAATCTTAACCAAGTTTTAGTATATATCACAAGGTTTTCGTGCATATAAAGAACACCAAAATCCGAGTTATAACGAAGAAGTTATGACTTGTCGAACTTTCGCGACAAAACCGACATGACCCAACGCGACGTAAATAGTGAATTTAAGGTAGATAGATATCTATCCTTAGTGATCTAAACGAGAGTCGAAGATCTCTTCGATAGTAGTCCAACGATAAAAATACAGACGAAAACGCAGTTCAGATGAAGGAGTTATGAATTTCGAACGGAGTTTTCCTGTCCCGACATACTATAGATAATATATAAGTAATATACTTATAATATATTAAAAATAAAGTCAAAATTAGCCAATGGAGTCTAAACGAGAGTTGTAGAGCATAATCTCACCTTCGCGTCGATATAAAGAACGTCGAAAACGGAGTTCGTATGCGAAAGTTATGAATTTCTGAAGTCCGGGGCGCGAAACCCCAAAACTATCAGAGACCACGACGTGGCAAGCAGTGCCACGACGTGGCAAATCTCCTGACAGCTCCGGGAGTCCCCCAGATGCAACTTGGGATGACGCATGCAGTGACGATCAAGCCCACTGCGTGGCAAAAGGATCCCACGACGTGGCAAGGGCCAAATTTGCCCTATAAATAGATTTGAAGGGCCAGCCGACTATGGTTGTTCCATCCCTTCTCTCCCACTCCCGATACACCCTCTAAGCCCTATTTTAACCCCCCGAAGCCCCGATATCAACCCCAAGACCTGAAGCAAGTCCCGAAGCCCGAAGATCCCGAGAAGAAAAGAGTTTCCGAGCCGAAGCTCTGCCCGCGAGAAACTAGGTGTGTGAAGTGATCCCGGTTTCACCGAAGAATACTACTTCTACAAGTCGTAGTGCTGTC